AGACGAAAAACGCGCAAAACGAAAGAGTTTTCCGTTTTTTGAGTCGTTCCGCAAGACGAATTTCCCTATGGGCTTGCTTCGCAAGACGAAACGTCTTGCGAGTTCTTGCGAGTTTGTTTCCTTTTTCTTAAAGCCGCTAAGCCGTTAATAGCCGCTAAGACGCTAATAGCCGCTAAGACGCTAATAGCCGTGCTTCGCAAGACGAAAAAACCGCAAGATAAAGAGACTCGCAGAACGGATTAATTTCGTCTTGCGAGGCACCACTGTATTTTATTTTTATTTTCTTGCAGTACTGCTCAATTACTGTGAGCAACAATTAACCGTGCAAAGATTACGGGGGGCAGAAAACGTCGACTGTTCTGCCAGGGCATTCCATTTATTTATTTATTTATGACAGCCTCACCTACGCTTTGGGGCTTTGCCAAAACCCCGCGAATTCCTCTGGGATGATGACGAGCTATATTTGCGGGATTTCAAATTACAGTAAAAGGAAATTGCACAGTGACCCTTCTTTACACTCGAGCAATTAGCAAACCATATAATTTTCCGTTGGAAAGGGAATGTACGAGCTGCCTTGGAGAAAAAGAAGCAGCCTTTGGCAACTACAAATGATTCTTTTCAACCGAGCAGATTGATTTAGTTAGTAATTCATAGCAATCATTACTGAGTAGTCACTAAATCCCCGCTTTAACCCCCACCTCCTCCTCCGTAGCAAATGCTTGGGTTGAAAATGGCACATGCCTGTACATAACAAGATGAACTTTCTTCAACATAACCCAAGTTAATCCTTAAAAAAAAGGCAAGGAAACCCCAGACCTTGACATAGGTTCTTTTAGAGGGCTAGAGGATGTTTAAAATTCCATTTGAGAACATTTTCCAGTGTGCCATTCAGGGCAAGTGGAAAATTGTCAACGGAGCTTTGCACTCAAAACAGTCACAAAGGGGCTGGTTTGAGAGGTGTGCATAACAGACTCCTATTCCGCTAGTCCTCTGTATACCAATTAACATTTCCTTAAAAGATTTCCTTTGTTCAACATATGCCATGGGCTAATTGTGCAAAGGATTATGAAATATCATGAAATATTTGTCTGTTCCTGAGCACTGAAGTGATCCCCCTGAGGCACAGTGTGTATGGAGGTGCTAGGGTGACCAGACAACCTCACTGATGTGGTCCAAAGGAAAGCAGAGCAGTATGTTGGGCACCAGTTGGGCTGCAGGAGTTGCTAGAAGGAGGTGTATAAGATGCCATCCAACCATCTTACGGACTCCATTCTGGATTTGTGCAGGGTTTACTCCTCAAGCTTTTCTTTGAGAGCCAGTGTGGTGTAGTGGTTAAGAGCTGTAGACTCGTAATCTGGGGAACCGGGTTCGCGTCTCCGCTCCTCCACATGCAGCTGCTGGGTGACCTTGGGCTAGTCACACTTCTCTGAAGTCTCTCAGCCCCACTCACCTCACAGAGTGTTTGTTGTGGGGGAGGAAGGGAAAGGAGAATGTTAGCCGCTTTGAGACTCCTTCGGGTAGTGATAAAGAGGGATATCAAATCCAAACTCTTCTTCTTTTCTTCTTCTCCTGAAGATGTCCTGCAAGGTTTAGAATCAGAGTTTTCCTTCTCCTAGATGGGCTCCCTTCCCACCTGGTTGACGAGCCCCATCTGCCCCTCAATTTCCTCTACAACACATGCAGAAACTGCCTTCTTGATCGTTGGAACCACTACTGGTCTCATCTGCTCAATCTGCTGGAGCCTGTCTTTGAATGCAGGGGAAGTCCCTAATTCACCAAGGGGTTGAGACCCATTGGTTACCCTCACCTGGTTTAGCTGGCCGGTTGAAGCCGTTCCTGGAGTGTGGATGCTGTCACATACTGACAGCTTTTAGGAGTCACAGGTATCAGGAGTCCAAGTTCCCAGCTTGATAACACAGTAAAGATAAAGGGACCCCTGACCATAAGGTCCAGTCATGACCGACTCTGGGGTTGCGGTGCTCATCTCACTTTATTGGCCAAGGGAGCCAGTGTACAGCTTCTGGGTCATGTGGCCAGCATGACTAAGCTGCTTCTGGCGAACCAGAGCAGCGCATGGAAACGCCGTTTACCTTCCTGCCGGAGCGGTACCTATTAATCTACTTGCACTTTGACATGCTTTTGAACAGCTAGGTTGGCAGGAGCAGGGACTGAACAACGGGAGCTCACCCTGTCGTGGGGATTCGAACTGCGAACTTCTGATCGGCAAGTCCTAGGCTCTGTGGTTTAACCCACAGTGTCACCCGTGTCCCTTAATAACACAGTAAGCATAGGTAATTAAAAAAGGAAGATTTATTGCAAAAACAAACAGATAACTCCGGAAGACTCTAACAAAGCCTCCAGCATCATTACTCAAGATGACCCTTCTGAAGACTTCTTCCACCGTCGACAGAAGATATTGAACATATGACCCTTATGTCTCTTGTTTTGTTTCCTATCTAACAGCCCTCCCATTCAGTGACTCTTCGGACTTAGTGGGTCAGCTGCACCTCCTTCCTGTTCTGAGAGGCTGTCTCTGAGACTGTTTGTGCCTTTTTGTGCTTCCTGCGAGCTTTGGCTGTGTTCTAGCCTATAATGGAACACTCCTACAGGCCCCATGGCCTCCTCTAGCAACTGGAACAGCTACGCAGCATTCCCAGGAAGGGGTCCTGGTGTTCTGGGACTCACAGCTGCTCTCTTGTGAGCACCCGGTCTTTACAGAGTAAAAGCAGCACAGACGGAGGTGAGGAGGTATCTGGGCATACCTACTTTATTTCTACTAATTACAGATTAAAGAACATAACAAACATGTATGAGAGGAGCAGCCCGCATCCTGTCTCGTCGCAAGACAGAGCAGAAAGAAAAAGTACAATAGTACCAGAGATGGAAGTCACACAGACAGGCTTCCTTTCTCACAGAACAGAAAGTAAACAATAGGATCAGATGCTCCTTGCAATGGGAGGAGTGAAATACTAACAGCCTGCTCTCAACTACTGCCTTATCAGCCTGCCCGTCAAGGTTAGGAAGAGCCGAAGTCTGCAAATGCCTGCTCTCCCCTGCCTGACTAATATCTAAGGCTCTCTGTTCCTGGCTGCTTTCTGCAGTTGGCTGTAAACTTTCGCTTGGAGCTGGCTCATTCCTGACACCAGGTGAGAGCTGAGTGCAGGGTGGGGACCAAAGGTGCACAAACTACCCCAGAAGGAGCATAACATGTCCCTCACCCCTACTACCCCAAACCATCCCTCACCTAAGACCCCTAACACCCCATATATAATATAGATATTACAGCGGCATAAAATTGAGTACTATGGTTTAAAGATGCCTGAACTGCATATGATGAACATGCATCAGGATGGAAATCCATGGCAGCTGGAGTAGAACAGGGTTGGAGGGGCAGACATTTATAGCCATGCAACTCCTGGCGCTTCTTCCCAGGTTCTCAGTAGTGGTAGACAGACTCCTCTGATAGACAAGGGAAGGGGCCACAGCTCATTGGTGGAGCATCTGCTGTGCCTGTAGAAGCTCCCGCGTTTGTTCTTTGGTATCTCCATATAGATCTGGGAAAGAAGCCTGTCTAAAATACTGGAGAGCCATGGCCAGTCATTGCGGACAATTTTGAGCTAGATAGATCAATGATCTGACTTACTATAAGGCAGCTTCCTATGATCCCCACTAAGGAAGTGTAACTTAATCACATGAGGGGCCCTAGGAAGTCACATGACCTTGAGAGCAGTGCTAAATGTGAACCCATGCAGACCCATCCAACTCAGATTGCTTCTTAGCACAGATAGTGGCCAAAGAAGACTAACCTTTCAACCTGGATAGAGAAGATGCAATAGAAAACTATTGGATATGCAGTCCATTGTAAACCCCCCAATTTCTGTGATTAATCGTATTTGTTAACATCTTGTACCTGTGGTTCGCTTATTTGGTAGGCACATATTTCTAAGAATTCTCTCTATCCGCCAGAGGTCACAGAATCGTCATCCTGATTCCCATTGCCAATCTTGTTTTATCGTGTTTTTAATATTCTGTTGGGAGCCACCCAGAGTGGCTGGGGAAACCAAGCCAGATGGGTGGGGTATAAAATAAATAAATAAATAAATAAATAAATAAATAAATAAATAAATATTATTATTATTATTATTATTATTATTATTATAACCTGCTTCCAAGAAGAAGACTAAAGGAGAGAGAACATGCTTGGAAAAAGCTACTCTCCTGGTAATCTGTGATGAGATTTGTGGTATGAAGATGGGGAAATGCTACAAAAGTTTTTTATTCTTTATTTTAGCCACCTTCCCATGACTTCATCCCATGACACTGCTAATATGTTTAATGGCCTAGCACCATATGGACAAGGCCAATCATGCATCTGTTTTCCATTGAATTATTGCTTAGTAAGACTGGGGTGTCAATCAGTTGGGAATGACATAGGAACATATGAAGCTACCTTAGACCGAGTCAGATCTAACTCAGTATTGTCTACACAGACTGGCAGTAGCTCTCCATGGGTGCAGACAGGAGGTGTTAAAGATATGAGTTTAATATGGATAAAATGACATGTTTGTATACATTGTGTACGAAAACTTTTTGCAAAGAGAAGTTTGCATTAGGCACAGGAGGTTTCACTCTGGAGAATGCGGCAGAAAAGATTGGATGTTTTTATCCCAGTCTTTAGACTAATCGATCATTTCAGAAACCGGAGTTGTAGATCTCTCACAGCAGGATGATAAACTTACGATTTTTCTCTCTTTCTGGAAGCAGAGGGAAGACAGTTACTGTTCTGTATTAAGGACTAAACAGAAGAAAGGACCACATTTCTAATTTGTTTAAGAACAATGCGTTATTCTGTATTTTGTAACATTTGTTTGTAACTGTTTTAAGACTGTTTCCAGTAAAGCTTTGGAACTCATTCTTGTGGTGGAGAGCAGATTCTTTTCTACTCTAGCCAAGATCTAGATGAGGGATTCCATTAACAGAAGGCTTTTTCCAACAATACCTGGACCTGCCAGGGATTGAACCTGGAACTTTCTGCTTCGGAGGCAAGAGCTCTACCACTGAGCTACAGGTAAAGGCACTGTGACCACAATCAATGTTGCCTAGTGAACCACCTCATTGGTCACCACTGCTCAGTAGACTGGTTTGTAGCATATTTGTGGGGCAGTAGCATTTGTGGGGCGCGAGTGACACTGTGGGTTAAACCACAGAGCCTAGGACTTGCCGATCAGAAGGTCGGCGCTTCGAATCCCCGCGACGGGGTGAGCTCCTGTTGCTCAGTCCCTGCTCCTGCCAACCTAGCAGTTTGAAAGCATGTCAAAGTAGATAAATAGGTACCGCTCTGGTGGGAAGGTAAATGGCGTTTCCGTGCGCTGCTCTGGTTCGCCAGAAGCGGCTTAGTCATGCTGGCCACATGACCCAGAAGCTGTACGCTGGCTCCCTCAGCCAATAAAGCGAGATGAGCACCATAACCCCAGAGTCGGGCACGACTGGACCTAATGGTCAGGGGTCCCTTTACCTTTGCCTAGCATTTGTGGGTTGATTTATAGGGCGCTCTCTCTCTCTCTCTCTCACACACACACACTCCTTACAGTTAGAGGACAACCTTACAGTTCTTGCAAAAGGAAGCCAGCTAGAACTCTCATTCCTGTTAATTTTGTTAAATCATCTGACTTCTGTCTTCTTTGAGCCAGTTTGGTAAGCTCAGCTTTTATTCCAAAGGCAAGCTTTTGTTTCCTGCTTCTCGGAAGAGTCTAATTGATTCAGCTGACGTCTGGGTGCCCGGGATAAGTATTTGTTGTGCCGGTGCAATCAGTATGGGTAGGACACGACTGCATGGTGCATGTTGCATTATTCACTTTCATCTACATGCAGCTCAGGGATGGCAGGCTTCTCACTGCTACCTTTATGTTGGTTCATCCGATATCCTAGTCTGGCTGGTACAGTGGGAAGCCTGGGAGATCAGCTGTCATGCTGTCGACCTCCTGCTGAATCCAGGGAGGAATACAGAATGGGGGCCTGCTATGTTTAACAGGGAATCTTTCAATGCGGGAAGTTTTTTGCCAACAAAGGGCTTCTTCCCTTTCTTCGGGGCTTCCTCCTACGACAACAGGGATAGCGTTGCAAATCCGTGTGGTCAAAATAGGATGAACCCCACAAATGCGGATGGGGAAGGGAATAGGCATTGCGCTTTCGCTTGCTCTTGTCTGATGGGTCCCAAATTAGGTTTCGTTCCATTTCGTTAAAGAAGAACAGCAGCATATGCCATGTTAAAATGAATTTGCAAAGCAGGACAGGGCACATTTTTGGCCCTGGGCACTGCATGCACTAAGGGGCAGTGAGTTGTGAATTGCACACTCGCATGAGTGCGCACGCAGTCTCCCAGCCTCCCTTTCTGCCTCTTCCACACACAAACACACACACACACAAATGCTTTATCCTGAGGGGAACCACAAAATGGCACCTCCTTCCTTGCCAGTGAAGAAAGAGTGAGTGAATAATAATAATAATAATAATAATAATAATAATAATAATAATATTTTATTTATATCCCACCATCCCCAGCCGAAGCCGGGCTCAGAGCGACTAACAACAGTAAAATAATACAACATTCTAAAATCAATTCATTCTAAAATCAGTTTAAATCAAATTCATGGCAACCATTGCGCTAGAGTTCTGTGAGGATTAAAGATCTATACATCGGTACCTTGGGTTAAGTACTTAATTTGTTCTGGAGGTCTGTTCTTAACCTGAAACTGTTCTTAACCTGAAGCACCACTTTAGCTAATGGGGCCTCCTGCGCCGCCAGAGCACGATTTCTCATCCTGAAGCAAAGTTCTCAACCCGAGGTACTATTTCTGGGTTAGCAGAGTCTGTAACCTGAAGCGTATGTAACCTGAAGAGTATGTAACCTGAAGCGTATGTAACCCATGGTACCACAGTACTGGAATCTGTCACCCCTGTGGATCCTGCTACCTGAGGCAATCGCCTCACTTTGCCTCATGAGTAGGTCAGTGTCAAATCCATATGCAACCACGTGCCATTTTGCATGCTACATCTGGAAATGGTCTCTCCCCCCCCCAACTATAGCAACATATTATAGGATAAATAGATTTATCTCACGTTTTTCTGTTTCTGTACCATTTCAGTCCTCACAGTTCTGTTCACAATCTTTCTTTCCAAATATGGAATCTAAAAAAGTGTGGGGGGGGCATCTTACAAGATAAGCCACAATTATTCCCTTGAAGATTTCTGCTCCCCTTCAACTTTTGGAAGTCTAGGAACTTCCAAAGCTTTGATGCATATAGCTTTCCCCTAATTATAGGTGACGCATGCCTTTGTTGGCCATCGGAAAGACACCACTAATACTATAAGCTTAACGGCTGGACATTGCACTAAATCCATGTGTTGTTTCTATATATGTATATCAGTGACTAGTGCCGAGACGGTAACTGCAGGCAGAGAAGAAAATTATAACATTAATGGTCACAAAAGAAGCAAAAGAAGAAAGGAAAGCAAAACCATTTTGGATCTCAAGAAAAGCCAAATTAGCTAGTAGCAATGGCCAAAATTCCAAAGTCATCATTGATCATGTTGCCACTGATCCCTTGACCAGGGTGGGATCGGATGGCTTTCTTTATGTGGCATACAAGAGAAAGCGGAATTTTTCATTGTGGTGCGTTTCAAAGAGTGTTTCTGAAATGCTATCTTGTTTCAGTCTCCTTTCAGGCACAGAAAAGCAGCGCAGCGCAGAGCTAAATGGGCTAATTACCTTTGCAGCTCGAAAAAGAGGGGAAAACGCAAGAGCCTCGTCTTTATCTCCTCTGATTTCAGAACCTGACATGGGGCTTTTCAGCTCCACACATCCCTTTAAATAAATGCCTAATTAGATAACTCACGGAGTCAACTGGTAAACGAGCAAAGGGCTGGCAAAGGGCTGCCTCCGTCCTCCCTCTGCCATTCATGCTCCTGGAAATTAAAAATGAAAGAACCCTTTGAACATGTGTCAGGGGTTTTTTAAAAAAAATTTTTTAAAACCTAGTAGCTTTTTTTCTTCTTTGGCTTCAGATTTATTGTGCATAAATATTATTTTTGTGTGGTAAAGTGCACGAAACAAGCCTTCTCCATCCCTGACCTTCCTGCAATGAGGCCATGTTGAAACTGAGTTCCTGATCATAGGGAGGATTCGAAACATGCTCACCTGAACACATGGAGAATGCCATTTAGACTTTCCTGCTCAAACTTTCCTGCAGTTTGCATTTTTTTAAAGTCCTTCTGAAGATTCATCACCATTTCAGTTTGAATTTCTCCTAATAGACATGTTTGTATAAACTGTTGTCCAACATATACATTTTTGCAAAGTATGTTTCCCTAATATATATGCATCTGCATGCACACTGTACCTTAGTATGCACATTTTTGCACACATTATTTGGTGGGATAAATGCACTGCAAAATTCAGAGAAAAGCAAATTTTGAAGGCTGGCTTGGTTTGGGTCCCTGTACGGCTTGGGGAGTTGGGGACGCGGGTGGCGCTGTGGTCTAAACCACAGAGCCTAGGGCTTGCCGATCAGAAGGTCAGCGGTTCGAATCTCCGTGATGGGGTGAGCTCTTGTTGTTTGGTCCCTGCTCCTGCCAACCTAGCAGTTTGAAAGCACGTCAAAGTGCAAGTAGATCAATAGGTACTGCTCCGGCGGGAAGGTAAACGACATTTCCGTGCGCTGCTCTGGTTTCGCCAGAAGTGGCTTAGTCATGCTGGCCACATGACCCGGAAGTGGACAAACGCTGGCTCCCTCGGCCAGTAAAGTGAGATGAATGCCGCAACCCCAGAGTCGTCCACGACTGGACTTAACGGTCAGGGGTCCCTTTACCTTTACCTATGGCTTGGGGAAGTGCGAATTTTCTATATTAAAATTTAAATGTGAACTGAAGCAAACTTCTCCTCCATCTCTAGTTGGGGAAGAGGTTGGCGAGTCTGTCTTCACATTCCCTCCAGATTTTCTTCCCACCTGTGTTCTTTTAATGCCTGAATAGGACTACGGAGTCACCAAGATTGCAATCCGATATGCATTTGCTTTAGAGTAAATGACACTGAACTTAATGGAACTTACTTTGGAGAAATCATGAACAGGATTGCACAGTGAATTGTGAGTCACTTGGCTATGGAAGTAATAAAGGCATTCATCAAGTGAGTCACTGAGTAATAAGAAAGAGAGGAGTGGAAAAGCACATACGCATTCCTGGCTGTGCTCTTGCTTTCAGAGTAATACCTTTTCAGGAACCATTTTCCTTCCTCTTCTTCATACATATTATCTTACCTATAATCCTTATCTGCAGTCTTCAACTATTTTATTTCCTTATTTTTAGTTATCTGTGTGACTTAAGGAAGCGCTTAAATTGGCAAAACCATTCTATGCTTTAACTTGATGCCTTGCTTGCCTCTCTGACATTACAGAAGGCCCTAAAAATTACCCAAAGTTGCCTTTGATATAACAAGTGTGTGGGTGTGGGTGTAGATAGATAGATATTTGTATGAAATTCTGTACAGAATCGTGGACTGATCTGGCAGCAAAGGAGAGACTTATCAACACCAACGCAGGCTGCACCAGTCCTATCCCAGATGATGTACTCTTTGCTTCAACCAATTATGTGAGTGTCTCAGGTGTGTGAAGGCAATTGCCAGAGGGGGAGGAAAAAATATTTGTGGGCCAAAGGGGACTGACAAAGCCATCCCCTCCCCTTTACCAGTAACCAGGAAAAAAAATATCACAAAATGAAAAATTGCAAGTGATATTCTAATGGTTGTCTTATATGAACAGTCACAAGAACGGGAGAACTGAGATATAATGCAATGCCCATAATAATGTGGTAGCGTTGTTAAAGACATTAATTATATTTGAATTAGCAACACAGAGTTGCATTTCAATTCCCAGACTTTATTTAGCTATCTCCAAAGCAACCAGTGTCAGAATGGCTACAAGCTTGTCTTTTAGCTGCGAATAGTGGATATTTAGGTCTATTTTTTTTAAAATAATAATATTTATTAGTTTTCAGTGTGGATATTTAGGTCTAGAAG